GATTATTTTGCAGTAATAGTCATTTTGTAGTTACAACAGGAAAAAAAAAATCAAAGTTTTATATAGAGAGGAATCTTAAGAAAACCTATGAAAATTATAAGCAGCTGATATCCTATTTCTTAAGGTAAGTGGTGGACATGTGTATTTTTTTATGTTTGTCTTTATACCTTGTGCATATGAATGAAATGCTTTGTAGTAAAACATACACACTAAAAAGGAAAAAGAATATTCATGTGCTAATATGAATTGATCTCATAAGCTCAGGCAAAAAAAGTACAAAATACTATGTATAATACGCCTCCATATATGTTTTTAAAAAAGATATATACATAGTTCATATACATGGAATATTTCTGGAAGGATACATGACATAAGATATCAGTTAAGATTTCCCTCAGGAAGGGAAATCAGTGAACGGAGGCAGATGAGAGACTATTTTTGTTATTATTTGGTTAATTAATTATATGTATATATATAATTTTAAAGTTTTTAGTAAATATGTTTGGTCCAAATTATCTCCAAAATCTATTCCCAATGCATCCCTTAACCACAAAGATTTATCAATGGACTAAATGTTTCCTATTCTATTTCAATGTTATTTGTAATAATGTTGATTATTAGAGGGTAAGATTTAAAGACATTAATTTGACTTGCAGTTACCAGAAAGGAAACAAAGTTCTTAATGTAACTGTCAACCTTTCCATTTTCCATCTGACAAAATAATAATATCTCCTAGAAGTCAAAACAGCAACTGAACACAACTAGCCTGAGGATAGATTATATTAAAGCTTTTTAAATAATAGTGGCAATAAAATTTTAGGGAGTTTATTTACATTTTTTACATATACGTAAAAAAAGAAAAACATTTTCAAACACAAAATACTGCATTATAGTGCATTCTAGTGGTCTTGGGAAAAATTGCAACTGAATTTACAAAAATGGCAATCGAAAATACTCTACAAAATAAATGTAACAAAAATAACAACACATTAAGAGCTAACATTTCATAAAAAATTAGACAAAGACAAAATATGTAAAGAACCACTGTGGTTACCACAAGCTATGGTCCCATAAATCAGGGTCTCCCTACTGAATTGTCAAATTTGCTAAAAAATATTTTTCTCACAGAACCCTCTTCAAGCTTAATGACATTCCTTTGGAAGACAATATGCTAAGATACCTTCTCACTCTTATTTTTTCCCATTGTTTTAACACTTCAGCTCACTATTTTACCAATCTTTCTTATTCACTATTCTTTCTCTAATTCTGACTATCAGATAAATAAGCAATCTCATGTCGAACAACTCTATGTTTGATATATAGCTAGGTCCCCCAAATGGCCTCTATTGGATAAAATAGCATAAACATTGTTTAATAATTTTAATACACTAAAGAAGTCTCATTCTAGCTCTGTTTCAAAGCATATTATAATACATAATGTGCCAGGAATATAATATAGCATCCCAAGCACATCTTAAATATTGATGTTAAAAATAGTTTCATTAATTTCAGTGAACTATTATTGCATTCTAATGATGTGCCAGGCACTGTGCTGGCTGCTGGGAATAGCTTAAGGGTGGAGGCAAGGGGATGCCTAAGAGACAAGAATATAAATAACTATAGCACACTGTGCTAAGATCTATAAAAGGTTGTATCATGTTACAGGAATGCAGATAAGGAATTACCTAATCCTGTCAAAGTTGGTGTCAAAGAAAGCTACTGAAAAGAAGTAACACGTGAGATTTTAGTTAAACTTCAAAAAACTAGTAGGAGTTTTCCAATCAGATAAATGGACTGATGGAGAGGGTATTTCTGTCAAAAGGAACATTATAAGCATGAAAAATAAAATACACAGGGTCAAAAAACAGTAAACAGTATATTCAGTATCCAAAAGGTATAGAAGAAATGGAGTAAGAAAAGGGATAAAGAGGGCCTGGTTGTGAAGGATTTTACTAAGAAGAACTTTGAAATGAGCCAGTTATTTTTAAGCAGGAGTATACGATGATTGTCATATCTGTGTTTTAGAAGATGAATCCCACGGACATGAAAAATGAATTAGAATATGGAAATGCTAGCAGCAAGGAGGACAGGTTATTATAGTAGTGCAGACAAAAGAAAAGTGGCAGTGAACAGAGAGAAATGGGAAAAATGAGAGAAATGTTTCAGAATTACATTTTATACAATATTTGAGGTTCCTCAGTATAAATGTTCCTGAGTAAATCTCGGATTATATACTGTGTAATCTTTAAAAATCATATTTGATTTGCTTATTTTATAAATTTTATCACATATTAAGGAATTCTTTAATAAATCCATTGCTAGGTGAGCAATCCCTCCAATGTAAAAGATTCAGTTTTTTACTTAATTTTGGATCTTAAAGTGGGACTACTTAGAA